ACTCTAAGCATGCATTTTTCAGTGTTTCAAAGTGTGCAGTAGTGACTGAATCCCAAGTGGACAGAGGGACTACTTTGCAGTCTGCCCTGAAGGCTGAGCAATGCCCTGCCTGCCCCAGCAGCTGAGGCCTGTGAGGGACAATCAGAAATCTCCTCTGCCTTCTGCCAATTCCAGGATACCAACCCCCATGGAGGAGACTGCTCTCCTCTGCCCTGAGAAGCCAATGTCAGCAAAGCTTCCTCATAGCGCAGCAGCTCACAGCTCCTTCACTGGCCTTTCACCATGGGGGCTAGGGAACAACTTTTTCTAATTCACATTGCCCAGAACAATGCAAGGTGTGTCCTAAATCAGTCTGCCAACCTTGGACTCTACAAGTTCTTATGTCAACTGAGCCCTCCTGTGTTGTGATGCCAAGAGGGAGATGGCTTAGCTGGCTAGCTGAAGTTCTCCCAGTACTCAGAAAAGCTCAGAGAGATTCTCAGCTACTAAATGCTTCCCTTAACTGGGGAGAGGCTTTGGGAGAATTCATTTTCTCAATGTTTGTGCCCAAGAAGGGCGAGACATTTTTAGAGAAATTCCTGTCCTGGAAGGTTTGACCAGTTTTTTAGTACCCAAAAATAGTATAATATAAAGTCTATCTATTATTCACTTTAAAATCAAGTCTGGTTCAATGCACTTTATATATCTACTTTAAAAGGTGTGCTGGTTTCATCTGGGATAGAGTTAATTTTCTTCCCAGTGGCAAGTAGGGGTCTTCTTTTGGGTTTGTGCTGAACAGAGGTTTGATATTGCAGTGATATGTTTGTTATTGCTGAGCAGGGCTTACAGAGAGCCAAGGCTTTTTGTACAGTCACGCTGGTGAGGAAGTTTGGGATCGTGGGAGGCTGGGAGGAGACGCAGCCAGGACAGGTGACCCCAACTGGCCAAAGGGATGGTCCAGACCATATGACATCATGCTCAGTATATAAGGTGGGGGGAAGAAGGAGGAAGAGGGGGACATTTGCAGTGATGGTGTTTGTCTCCCCAAGTAACCATTACACGTGATGGGGCCCAGCTCTCCAGGAGATGGCTGAACACCTGCCTGCTTATGGGAAGCAGCAAATTAATTCCTTGTTTTGCTTTTCTTATGTGCATAGCTTTTGCTTTTCCTATTAAGCTGTCTTTATCTCAACCCATGAGTATTTTAGCTTTCACCCTTTCTGTTCTCTCCCTTATCTCACTGGTGGAGGAGCGAGCAAGAGGCTGTGTGGGGTTTGATGGAGTTAAACCACAACAAAAAGCTGACCTACTTTTGAGATAACTTCTCCTGCATTTCTTATGCCAGTGACAACTATGAGTGCATGCAAGTGTTTGAGCTTAGCCAAAGTCAGCCAATTCTTTAGCTGGAAAAAAAAATAATCGTATTCCTTCTTATTCCACTGTCTACCTTCCTGCTCCTACTGCCACTTCCTGCTCCAGCAGCTGAAGGCCATAAAATTCTCGCAGAATTCACAGAATCCTCAAAAATTTACAGGATGGGCCTGAAGACAGCAGGTCTTGTGGCTTGAGAGGGGTCAGCTGGGCCTCTGCCCATTTTTCCACACCACAGACTCCCACGTGCTCCAGCACGTAGCAAGCTGCTTCAAGGAGCTGAAAATAGTACCTTCCCTCAGAAGCAAAGGCAGTGGCTGAGAATGAGCAAGAGCATCAGAATGAGCCTGATTTTGTTTTTACAAACAGTGGCTTTCCATTGCTTTTCTAAAGGCATTTCTTGTCTCCGTGGCACTCTTTAAAACAAGGACTATCGAGCCCCTCAAATGACTTCAGATGCTGCTGAAACATTTGTCACCGAATGTTAAAGCTGTTGTTTAATCACTTTACTCACAGCCAGATTCCTCCTTTTGCTTATAGAAATTTCTGCAGTCTGGTATGTGTTTTCAGGCAAGATCAAGCTGTTTTCCAGCAAAAAGGTCTTTTCAAATCTGCAGTCATGTCTTATTTGAACTCCAGCTGGGCTCTTTTCTGAATGCAACTTGTCATGGTCTACAACACATCTCTTTCTGTAGCTGTTGTTTCACCATTCTCATTTGAAGCTGCCTCTGAACTCCTCCCATTCTGTGCCCACATCCCCTCCTGGTAGGAAGTGCTGGGAAATGGGGGCCACCACCATGCCATGCTTGGTTTTTCACAATGCAAAGAATACATCAGGGTGCTATGTTACATTACATTGTGCTATGTTATGCTCTGCTATGCTGTGTTATGTTAGGTTGTGTTACAAGCAGAACGCTGCAGCCATCTGTGCAGAGCTACAGCCAGAAATTGTATGATGCCATGCACGATAGACAGCTGCTTTGCCCAAATATCTGGTGAATACTTGACAATCTGCTATGACTAGTTACTGTCTAACCACTGTTTCCTACCCTCATTCACTGCTTAAATGCCAGTAATAAATCAAGTTAACATTTCTGGGAATTACAATTTTTGAGACTTTTTTTACTTCACAGCTCCACATCATCTGATTTTGCAAATGACCAGTCCAGGATCTCTCTTAGCCCACCATCATGCATGTGACACACCTAATATTTTTTTTTTTCTGGATTGTATGTAGGTTTAATTTTTGTTGAAGTTTTGATGTTCATTTTTTTTTCCCTTGTCACTTAAAACAAGAAAATTCAATGAAAAAATCTGCCTAGTAAAGGTTAAGAATCTTTCAGTGATAGTTTAAATTATCTTTTTTCTTCCTAACTCCTAAATAATTTTAAAAACCCCTTCCCCTTATCCCAGTGGGTATCAAGTGTAGAAATAAATTTTTATTGATGCTTACAGTAAATGCCCTCTAGGAAATGACAGTGCTTCCCAGGTTGTCTTTAGAGTGTTCAGAGTAAGCAAAATCAGGCAGGAAAGCCCAGGCATATCCCAAAATCTAATGCAGCAGTGCCAACAGACAAACTAGTGTATGGGGGCTGTGCACAGCCCATTTTCACTGCATGCAGACATAGTTTGCAGAAAACTATTTGGTCATTTATCTACTATTGCCCTTTTTGGCTGTATTCAAAACGGGGAATAAAACAGAAAAAAATAAATCCGCAGAAAAATGAGTTGGACACTGGCGCAGTAAAAGGATGTGTAGAATGACTGCTAGCAGTAGGTAATGTCAGAGCTCACAGATAGAACAATCTGCTCATTTACATATGGCTACTACCCAGCAGTAGTGGTGAGTCTGGATGGATAGAAAAAAGTATAAAAGGAAAAAAAAAAAAAATAAAAAAAAAATCTGCCAAGTTGACATTAAGTTTGGCCGTGTCATCTGACCAAAGGGACTCAGCAGAGCAGGTCACAGTCAGGTCAGGCAGCAGAAGGGGCTTCCCAGCACCCAGCCACTGCTGTCCACCCCTGCCTGCCCTGGTCTCCTCAGACAAGAGGTGACCAAGCAGGGAACAGCATTTCTTTCCATCCACTAGCAGATCCACACCTCATAGAAGAAGACTTTTCCCCCCAGTTTTCAGTTAATCCTGCTTGAAAAGAATCATGGAGTCCACCAATTTATTCTGATTAGTTATGTATACAGACAAACCAGTCACAGGAGAGGGGAACTAGATGGGTTCCGAAGCCCTAGATTTGGAAGATCTCAGCTCCTACTGAAATCACTGGGGTTTAGGCACCTATTTCTTCTTGGAGGTGATGAATTAAAGTATGCCATGCATTTCCCACAGTTAAAAGAATTCCAAAACAGGAACAGGGCTGTAAAGCTTAATTTCTAAAAGCAGCAGTGTACCCTGACAAAAAGCTTGTTTTATATTTCATTTGGTGGCTGCTCCAGAAATACTCTCAGCAGCTGTTGCAGCATCTTGGTTGGGATTCCTCTCACCTAACTTTAGTCATCCCAAGTGAGGCCTCCAATCTGAATTTGATCCCTTGGCCTCCCCACAGCCAGGCAGCTCTTCCAGATGGTGATTCAGAACTCAAAAAATTTGGTAAAGGGAATTTCTGTGGCTTTGTAGTTGAATCTATTTCAAACAACTGGTTTATAAAATCCTGCTCTGGGAAAATACCCTTTACCCCATTAAATATCCCTGCGGTATTTTTTTACATGGAGCATGACACACACAGCAACCTTGATATAAAATAAAACAATTGTGTTTACTATTTGAGATTTCACCTGTTCAGGAGCTGTGAACCAGCAGGGAGCTGGCTGAGGATGACCCCTAAGAGCAGGGTGCTGAGCTCCTGGGGATTCCCAGGGACCCAAGAACAGAAAATAGCTAATGCTACAGCCTCATTTCTGTCTCCAAGAATTAGGAGGAGCAGGGAAGGATGCTTTCATTTCAACAGAATCACTATTTTTGAATTGAGGGTGACAAAACCTGTAGTATCTCACAAGCTGGAGATGGAGTCTTTGGCATTACAGTAAAATGCCTTTCCTGGGCACAGGGGAGAAAAGGAGGAGGGAGGGAATTGCTGCCTGGTGCCCATGGCATTCCCCCAGCACTGCAGAAGCCCATCTGAGGCAGCCCATCAAAGCTGAGACAGCTCCCAGGGAGACCAAAGAAATGCAGCCACTTCCTCAAGGAGCACTGGTGAAGTCCTCCATGCCACAGCTTTGTCATGTTAGCAAACTCTGCTTAAAAGCAGCTTATCCCTCCAGATAAAATATAGACCTCCCAAAACCTTGAGCTCCTTTGACTCTGGGTGAAAAGCAGTGTCTAGAATATTAAAAACTGAATTCTTTATCATGCAGAGGCACTGAAAAAAAAAAAAAAAAGAAAAAAGAGATTAGGACAAACTCCAAGGCTTTTAGTAGTGTGGTAGACTGAGCTATTTACCTGGGCTGCTACTGCTGTAGCTGTGTATGAGCATGGGATATTTCTACTCCTTCAGGCCACCTAAAGGAGGTAATTTAATTTACCACTGTGGTAGTCAAAGCTGTAATTAATCCTCTGACTTGCAACTGTGGTGAATGCTCGTCAGCTGTGTCTAGTGATAAGGTGCTTCTGCACAGCCAAGGAATAAGGTCAGTCCTGCTGGGAAGTGAGATGTGTCCTGATTGACTGTGGGTGCTTGCTGTAGATGCTGAGAGGTGCAAATGCAGTTTTCTGGGTTGAGCTTCATAGATCTCTACAAAAAATTATCGGTGAGTGTTTATTTCTACCTTCTAAACCCTTATGCAGGAGCTTGGCTACAACAGAGCATGGTAAAAGCTGGCTGCTGAAAGTGTTTAAGTCCTTTCTAATTGTATCTGAGCATTCCTTTAGCTGCCTGATTGGTAAGGTCCTTTGAAAAGTGTTATTTTCAGATGAAGCAGTTGTAATTTTGCATGTTGAAGCTCTGGTGCTCTGATATTTAAGTTTGCAGTAGAGTTAAATTTGAGAGTCAGACTTTTCTTGACTAGTGAGGTCTGGGCACCTATCCCTTTTGCTTGGAGGGACTGGTCCTAGCTATGCTGAAATGAGTCTGCTGGAAGAGCTGTTCTTGCTTTGGCCTGGGGTGACATTTCATTTCCCCTCTGAAAAGGGAATTGCTCCTTTTGAACTGTTTTTTAATTTCAGCTTTTAGATCTCTTTCATGTGAAGAGGCTGTGTCCTCCTGGGATGTGGTATTTCCCTTTTCCTCAAACCCCAGCTCCTATAACCTCTCCAGCTTGTGCTGCTTCCAGAAACCAGCTTTTTCTCTGTGGGAGAAGAGGGGTCTCAATCTGTTTCTCAGTGAAAATGCCCCCTCATTCTTGGGGTCTGACTGTGTAAATCGTGTGAGCCCCTGTGTATTGGCCCAGGGCAGAGGGGCACTTCCAAAAAACTTTAAACTGGGGAAGGGGAGGCAGAGAGCTGCCTGGGGTGTGACCACTATCACAGCTGTGCTGTGCATATCTCAGCTTTGTGCTGTGGCTTCTACTCTGTTGGCAATTGAATTGAAATCAAAACATAACTGTGTTGCTCTGATGCTCTGGCTGCTAAATAGCAGCACTGTGAATAAATCAGTGTTACTTCACAGAATCGCTTTAATGTGGCAGAATTGCAGCAATCAGGGTTTAAAGTTAGATTTAAGAGTATCTGGTAAAGAACCTGATTGACATTCAAAGGAAAACTGCATTTGTTCACCCCTTCTGCAAGTGGGGGTAAGCACCATCCAGAGGAATTAGCAGTGCTTGATGGCCAGGCTAACTCCTCATTCCTGCTCTGCCCCTGATTTTCATCCTATAGTCTTTATCTGAACAATTTTGCTTCATGCTTTTTTTTTTTTTCCTAGTTTTAAGAACACTTATTTCTTTGGTTCTCTAGTTCTGTGTGAGTCTGCTCATTTCACTGTATAAAATAGAGCTATGTGGGCAGTAACATCCCTTGCCCTACTCAATGCCAAGCTAGCCATGTTGGAGGAGAGGAAGTGGAATCGCTCCGTAGCCAAAACTGCAGGGTGATAGTTGGAAGGGCACAGTGGGATTTTAACAGCCCCTCAAGATAACCATGTCTTGTCTTCTGAAATGAGAAATGGTGTCCCATTGAGTATTGATGTCTGCTCTGTGTTGATCTTGGGTGCATCCCCCTGTTTGCTGCCCTTCCCATAAAGCATCCTCACCACCTGCTGTAGCCATTAACCACACCATGCTCTACAAGCCTTGAACAAAAGAATTAGCACAGCCAGGGCCTACACCCCTTTACCAGAGAGGGGGTAAGGAGAGAAAGAGACCAATCTTAAAAATAAAAAACCCTCAAGAGGTTTGCTGGTTGATTTGTGAGGGAAATGTGTACTCTAGGTGTGCCAGGCTGGGGTGGGCAGGGAGGGATGCTGGCTCTCCGGGCTCATAGAAGTGGTGATGAACAACAGGGTGAGCATTTGGTGATGAAGCCTGATCCCCAAGCAGCTGCATATCAAAATTTCTGCCTTCAAACTACCCCAGCAATGCAAATGGTGGCCAGGAAGGTAGATCAGAGGGCTACCTGAATTTGGTTTTCAATACCAGATTATCTTCCAGTTATTCTATTTACAACACTAGATTTTCAGGCAGATTGAGTGTCTGTGATATTGAGGCAATTGAATTTGTCAGGTTTTGGAACCTCTGGAAACTTTCACCATAATGCCATGGATCCAGGACCTTTTTTTTCCTCCTCCCTTTATTAAACCCACAATTTTTTAATTTTTTTTTTTTTTCTCTCTGCAGTTTGAAAAGGGCACAGAGACTTTCCATGTAGGGGGAACTGGCAGAGTGAAAGAAGCCAAGGCTCAGTCATGATATTGTGGGCACTCACATTTTAATGAACTCTAGTAAATGGCCCTGTGAGCAAATAACGAAAATACAATTTGTTTTTTCAACCTCTTTAAAGATGGTAGAAAAAACAAACCTCAACTTACCCATCGGAAAATGTTTTTTCTCTTCTGGGCATATGCTAATTAGGACTTTGCAGATTCTATCAAGAGTTATTCTAGTTTTGACAGAACTGCCTTTATCTTCTCAAAAGTCACATTAGTATTGCCAGTCAAAAGTAAGGTCTGTGGCTAGATATGTCCCCCTCAAAAATCATAGAGTGTCACATTTTTATTGTTTTAAGGTACAGATAATAGATATGAGACAACTTGGTTTATATGTTCATTAACAAACAACAGACACTTGGTTTCAGTTTTGGGGTTTCTTAGTTGCATCTGTGAAAGTTGTATAAAAGAACCTTCCTGTGTCAATGTGCAAATTTATTTCGGTTTTGAAAACCATAAAAAATGGAAAAGATAGCCTGTAGTTTGAGATCTTGCTGTGGTATCTTGGCACTAATCTGCTTCGATCTAGATCAAGCAAAATGAATCTATTGTTTCTCATCCTTAGGACAAATCTGTTGCCATTTATAATTGCCTGTATGACAACTTCAGTGTAAAAGGCCTCTGTGCTTCACAGCCTGATTAAAGACACTGAGAATAAGTTTTTTGGGTTATTTTTTTTTCCATTCTTGAACTAAGGAATTAAGTCTGTTCTTGGGATCTGGCTAGCCATAACAGTAAGGTATTTCTTCCTCTGCCCAAAGTTACCCTGTTGGTACTGGAGAATCGCATGCTTTGAAACAGGGACTGCTATCTTCAGTGCTATTCCCAAGGAAAAAAAAGACAATGTAAGGCAAAAGTGGCAATTACTGGAGCGCTGTGTTAAATAGTTTCCAGAGATCATCTAGGTCAGCAATTTTGGAAGTCTTTCCAAAACACCTTGGCTATAATAGCTGTACAACTTGGGTGTCTGCCTTTCCTGGTTCAAAAGCCCCTGCCTATCAGTACAAGCATTTCCCTATGCGAAGCTGCCAAACTGGTTTTGTCCTGCCTCAGGAGTTCACCTATCCCTGCTTACAAGGCCAGGCATGAGCTGGAAGAATCCCTGAATTCGTGTGGTGTGAAACTCCCTCTCAAGTTTCATAAGCAAGATGAATGCATTTGACTGAAATACAGTGGGAATAACAGGCCAGGGCACTTCTCTTACCTGGCTCGGCTAAATTTTTTCCGCAGAAGTTACAAGGTATTTTGCATATGCCTGGTGATCTCTTGCACTTTGCTCGTAAAAGGTGTCCTGGATAACGATCTGGAGTTGTCTGTCAACACCATCAAAAGCTCTTTGGGTTTTGTTTTGGCAGTTTCCATGGCTCTGAGTTACTTGCAAGGAGTACTCTGTGAACTTCCCTATCCCTGCTCCATAACAGAGGTCAGGCTCCAGGCAGGTTTGCCATCCTGAAAATATCATTACTGTGGTTTGAGCAGCCTGGAGACCCATGAGATTATTAGGGATATAAAACGAGGCTTAAAGCCTCTCTGATCTGGGGAGATGAAGAACTTGATCTCCAAGCAGCAAGGTGTGACACTTGGGATGGTCCTGTGGAGGACGAGGAGTTGAACTCGGTGATCTTTGTGGGTCCCTTCCAACTCCGCAGATATTCTGTGTAATTGCTTGCCCACTAGCTATGGTGAAAAACACACGTGGTTTCTTAATTGATGGGGGTTTTTGTTACTTTGTTTTGCTTTCCTTTCCTTGTGTAAGAAGACTAACAAAGCACGGTTTCCTCACTGGGGTACAGAAGGAAGGTTTCTTTCAATAGGATAGGAAAAATATTTCCTGTAGAGCTCTAATGACAATATTCTGTAAGTTCTGACAGTATTTCAGGTAAGGAGTGTCTCTGGGAAGATGGGAAACTTCCAGGAAAAAAATAACCCCCTAAAAACATCTGTTTCCAGTATTTCTGGCTCCTATTCAAGCACAGAATAAGTCAAAGATGGCCCCATATTTACATCCACCCTCTGCTTTTGCATGAAGGCAGAAGGTGCACAGGAAGGGAAGGCTTTGTCGTTCATACTTGTGGTTAGTCAGGCTTGAAAGGCGGCTCAGCCTCAGTCCAAGCTGAACTTTGTTTTGGCTGATGGCTCTTATTCTGTCAGGACCAATTCCCCCATCCAAGTTCATCAAAGCAATTTGTAGGAGCCTGCACCTAGGTGCTCCTGCAGTGGGGAAGGGGAAAGCCATCAGCTCCCTCAAACGTAAGAATTTTGCTCTCTCTGCTGGGTGAGAGCAGAAAATACCAGCAGGGCAGAAAGCTTTATGGAAGGGCAATGAGCAACAGGGAGCAGCAGGGCAGACTTGGCACTTGGAGCATGTCCCTGCCACTGTCCCAGCCTCTCCTGTAGCCTCTCAACATGCTGTTGTGCTGCTTGCTGCTCCTGCACTTCCCAGGGGCAGCACAGGCTGGGTGCGATCTGGCTCCTGCAGAATTGCTGCAGTCAGGGAGGGAACAGCCCTGGAGAAGTGTGTGCATACAGGATGGTCCCAGCAGGCACTGGCATTCAATAAACCTGCAAACAAATCCTGTGCCTCAGTGCTTAGCTGCTGGGGATCCTCCTTCACGGAAAGCCCTGTTGCTTACAGTATCACTCCAAGGAAATGGTGGGATTGGTTTTCCCCCTCTCTTGGAGCTTAGCCTTGCTAGCTACCCCCTACATAGCAATTCCTAGTGCATAGCAAAGATGGGTACAGAACACAGCATTTGTCAATAAAAATAGAAGTTGTAGCCCTTGCTGGACCTAGCTGAAGCATTAGATAACAGATAAGGCTAGGCCAATTCATATCTGTATTACCAGTGAAATTCAAAATTTTGTCTGCTACTTCTTTGTACAAATTGT